TCTTTACTATTTAAATAACTAGAAAATTATTGTAGTTTACTGTCGCCATGTTGTTTTAAAGTGGAAGCCGTACGTACGGCTCTAATAAAATTTTAATTGCATAAATAGTAAACGTTTTTAATTATTTATTAAATTATATTTAATTAAATTAAATGTATTTTATTATAATTTTAAATATTACACAAGTGCCAGTAATTCATATATGTTTGTATCTTTCAACCTAATCTAGTACTGTAGCACTCATACTGATAAACAACAGTTCATAATCCAGGATGAAGCAAATATGACTTTGGTAGTGTAAGCAAATTATGTTCTTCAACTATTTCTTGTTACAAGTTTCATTGCATTGATGCATTTGGTAGCTATAGTTATCATAGTGTTATTGCAGCTGGTAAAGTTGAGTTGTCTGTTAAAGGATACCCAGTGTTTCTTCCACAAGGATAGTAGTACCCACAAAGGATGGTGATTGTTTGTCCTCATCAGCATAGCTGTTGCTGAATGTTCAAAGGGATGGTTGGATCTTCCTTCCAAGTTTGGTTTGCTAGTACTTCTATTGTACAACAGAATATCATTAGCTAAACATAGCACACAGTGATTGGTTGGACTGTCAAGGCCACTAGATCCATGGCATAGATGTTGAAGAGGATTGGCAATAGTGGTGACCATTGGAAACGACCAGTGTTAATGTTGATCCAATGTGATGTTTCATAATGCATTTTCAGGTAATTAATGCAGCTATGAACTTTTGTATACATGTTACACCAATGCTTGTACCGAGCATTTTGCCAGTAAAAATTGGCAGCTGTGCATCTGCCACATCTATAGCTACTGCCAACGTTTCTTGACCCTCTCTAATTCCTTCTTGTTTATCAGCTTCAAATTCAACACTCTTTAATAAAGTTTTTATTCTACTGTAATAACCATTTAATTGTAATTTTGGCAACTCCTCTCTGGAATCTTGCCAATAATATGTTGTAGTAACATGACCTTTAACGTGAGAATGATAATTCATGGGTTTCGGTAAATAACTGATAAAGGCAACAGTCCATATTTCAAGGATACTACTCATTGCCCAGATATGTTGATACTCATAACACTAACTTTAACAGGTTGTAAGATTCTTAAAGGTGGAGGCTCGTACACCATCTGCACATTAAGCTCTATATTTAGATGTATTTATGGCTCTGTGTATTTTGTCCAAGTTAAAGATGTCATCCATGTCTTCATGCACCTCCAAATATGAAATGCTGTATGGAATTGATTAATTTATCTGCATATGGCAATCTTTCCTCCATCTTTATCTGTACAAAATGGAGTACCACCATCATCGTAACCGAGTGGTATTACCATTTTTTTATTCCTGTGCGAACTATAAGCTTGTGGAAGTGCCAAATTGGCATTGCTGGATACTTCACTCTATTTCATGCCACATGCTTTACAAGCTGATCGACTGTGCAGAACATAGGCTATATTCCATGCAGTTCCTTGCCTATTTTTCCTGGGCTGGACCACGCCTCACCTGCATGAACTTAGCCTAGACTAGATTATGTGAATTTCAAGGCTATATCAGGATCACTATTCCACAAGTATGGGGTTTTCTTTTGCAAACAATGTGCAACTGACTTTGCTCCATGGTGTATAGATGCTTGAAAGTATGAGTACTGCCAAAAAGCTTGACATCCTAGAATGGTATTCTAGATTGTTTGATACCAATGTCTTCCACTCTTCATGCACACCTCACACATGAGGCGATCACTGCAGACATTACACAACATATACAGGTAGATATAATGCACAAGGCTGCATTAGTAAAAGCAAGGTCCATACAGAAGTCTCTTTCACCAGTTTTTAGTGATTCTTCTTTTTTTAATATGATGTTAGCAGTACAAGTTTTGTGGATACACTGTGAAAAACAATATGTAAACTTTTGCCATTGGTGATTTTTCCTGCATCACAAAAACCTACAGTATAATATGGTATGTTATATTTCATGTACACATTGATGATTTAGATTTGTGTAGGTAACTTTGGACAAGTTATCTGGATGGTGTTTAATTTGCAATAACGATTATTCCACTGAGAACTGTCATAATGTTTATAGCAAATGCTGCTGTTGTGGCAAACTGCAATGGTCATCCCAACCACTGGGATGGTATGTGGTGTGAAGTCAAAGTTAGCTAGACTGAACTCCTCAGGGAATGAGAGTTCACTCTCTTGAAAAGTGTAGGGTGTCATAAAATGCAGAAAGCATGCCTAGGCAGCATCCAGGGCTGGGCTGGCCAGCCTACTTTTAGGTTTTCCAGAGCTGGATAGCAGCAACAACTGCTTGCTGCCAGCCCTTCAGCATCTGTTGAACATTAGTGAAATGGAAAGACCTGTTCATCCAAGAATGCCCAATCATCTCTTCTTTCCAGAGCAAACTTCAGGTGAAGGTAGTAGATGCATTGGCTGCAGTACAAATTATATGGGAGGGCCATTATAACAGGTAACGAACCCAGTTGTACCACATGGGTTTGAGACATTGGAAGCTAAGCCCACTTATGACAGACCAGCTTATTCATAACAAGGAACATTTGGTTGGATAGGGCAGCCTGGGGTGTGGAGTCATGATTACTGCTCCTGCTACTTCCTCCCCTATTATCAATCTTAAGTAACCACCTCAAACTTCATTGCCCTAGGAACTGCTTCCATTAGGGTACAAGTGTTTTGCAATTTCAGTTGATGCCTCACTGCCACATTTGGAAGCCGTTCGATAAACTTATTGACTAAGATGTTACCATTTGTGCAGTACAGAGAAAAAACAGGGAATCTCAAGCAATGGATCTTCAGTTCTCCCCTCCAGAGAATAGCTCTGGATGTTACTAATCCTCTCCTGGAGAGTAAGCGAAGTAATTAATATGTAGTTTTCATTATCGATTACTTCACTGAATAGGTCGAAGCATACTGATTGGTTGACATTTAGTACAGTCCATTGCTGATGTGTTGGCAGAGCAGTGAATAGCATTCTTTGATGACCCTGGGGAAATTCACACTGATCAGGAAAGTAATTTCAACAACCAGTTGTTCTCCAAGTTGTGTACAGTGTTGAGTGTGGTGGATATGTGCACTTTATTTTATCCACTCCCAGTTAGATGGTTTGGTGGAATGGATGATAGAGACTGTCAAGCAAATGCTCACAAAGTTTGTTAATTTGGTCACACTGACTGGGACCATATATCAAAATGGCATACCACACAATAGAAAAATACTGACTGGATGTTCACTTAACATGACCATGTTTAGGAAAGAAACAATTTTCCCTGTGGATGTGATGTATAGTTCACCTTCTTGGTCAGATGCATCAAAGTGTCCACAAATGTATATGGAGTGCTGCAAACAGCACTGGTAGATGTGCATGAATTTGCACTCCAGGAACAAGGAAAAGCTGCCAAGTGGAAAAGAACGGTGTATAATAAATCAATCAAGGAGAGGACTTTGCACCTGGTGACTGGTTATAGCTGAGGCATGAACCAGCAGCATGGAAGCAACCTGGCTCTGGTGGAATTGTTTCCAAATACAAGATCCAATATTCATGAGACTCACATAAACATGTCCAACCCATAAACAAGCAGTGACCCTAAAGTTATGGATGCACCTCTCATGTTTTGGTGTGACCAGGAATTAGAGGTCGAGATTGATGAGTTGGAAGAAGATGAGAGTATTGTTGAAGAGTGCCTCAGCTTAGCCAATGAGATAGAGGAGGGTGTTACAAGTATTGATCTAACTGTGTTTGATGAGCCAGATGAAGAAGCACCTGAAGAGGCACAAGAGAGCTCCAGTGGTTGCCAGGAATGCCTATGATAACCTCTGGATCAACATGGTTGGGACTACCTGCCAAACTAAGAGCAAGGATGGTTATTTGATCATGAAACCAATGATTAAAGGGCTTAATAACATTTACTTTTCAAGGCCCCAGTTCACATATACACTGCATGGTGCAATTAATATTTGTGTACCAGCTAGGGCAGTCATTCTTATAATGCACCCATGACCCCAAAATGTGAAGCATGATTTTGTTTTGGTTAATGGAGCATAAGCCATTGAACATCAACTCCACAATCTGGAACACTAACCAGTAGGCTAAGCTCGGTCCTCCTTTAATGGAAAATGAAGTTGGAGACTTTCAGTTTATGTTAAATATTTCAGTAGTCCACAAGAACCTTTACATTGGTTATCACAATTAGTTGTAATGGTATTTACATTATAACAAAGTGGTAGCAGTTTCTATCTTAGACACCAGGGTGGTGACTTTACACTAGTGTTGAAAACAAAGCACTTCCCATGAAGCCCTCATTGTAGATCATATAGCAATTAATGCTGCAGCAGATTACAATTTTGAAACACACTGCCAAGATCAGACAGCCCTGGTAATATACAACCAGTGTCTGCTAAAGTGATAAGATGCCAAAGCAGCAAGATGAAGAGATGCACCAGTTCCAAGAAGATTTGGTGAGAATTAGGAAGGTTCTTATGAGTGGAAGAGAAATTACATGCCAAATTATCAGGGTACATTGCAAATTTATTAGCTGTCAGGTCTCTTTAGGTGAGCAGCTCTGCTTTTTCACCTAAATTGCATATTATTAATGATTTTTTATTTATATGTATAATCAAGTCCTTCAGTTTAATTTAATTTTGTACAGTGTATTTTTGCACAGGGTTAAGGTTTTCTTTAATTGGTATAGTATATATATAGACACACACACACACACATGTATTTTTGTATTTAGAGTAAATTCTATTCTGCACAAGTGTGTGTGTGTATGACTGTAAGTAGCTTTTATGTAAGGGTACGTTGTGCTTTTATTTATTTAAGGGTTTATTCATTGTATGCAAATTTTTCTTGGACACACACACATTGCTTTCTTCAACCATTAAGGTTCAGCTATTTACCAAGTAATGTTCTTAACGTATAGACATTTAGTAAATGGCACTTGTTTAAACATACACAGTCAAAAATATCAGAAATTATAAAGTTTTTTTATTTAGTAAAGTATCTTTTTAATGGAATGTATACATATGTGATCCATAATTATTAACACTTCAAATGTACTTTCATAGCTTGTGACATTTCTTTATAACAGATATTTTTAAGTTATGGAAGGCTCTACATCATACATAGATCTCAATCATATATTTATGTATTTCATACTTTTTTATATATCATATTGCATCATTTGTTCATACTTTAGAACTCAAATTACATACAGTAATTACTTATACAAATAACTTCTGCTTTCCATAATAAAAGCACTTGTACATTTTTTTCCACAGTATGTCTAATATGCACAGTCACCAACAAAGTTGCAAAGACATGAAATTTTTCACCTAAGGTTGCCTAAGCATACGTATACATAATTTATTTTACAAACATTAAACTATCATAAACATTCACTTTATAAAAAATCTATAAAGAAATTGAGATTGCAAGTAATCTCAAATTTTCATGCAACTAGAATACTTTTTAATGACCATTTAATTGGTTATAATCATGAAAATTAATAGCTTTAAGTAATATTTTATCAATAACCTACTAAAATTAAAATGTTAAATTCAAACATATTGTGTGAAAGAGATTTCAACAATGAAAGGCCCTATAACAATAAAAAGAGATAGCATTATGAAATTAGTTGTTATTGGTAAGATCCTACTCTCAATAACATCCTTTACTATTTTCTAACATACAAAAATATGGTGTTTATTCTGAGGTACCCATTTCACTCAAAAATAAGAGTAAGTAACATCTTAGATAAACTAAAATTTTCAACTTATTTATTTTCCTACATTACAAAAAAATGTGTCAAATTAAAATTTACAAAATATAAACTCAAAAAATTTAATAAACATTTCTTTAAGTAAGTAGAATCGTCAGTACAAAATATTGGGATAAATTTAAACAATGTCTACGATAAATATTTAAACACACAGGGTTTTCCCTTTCGGATTATTTCTTTTTCTCATACAAGTATAATATATTATAAAGAAATCCAAAAAAATATCTGTATACTAAACTTCTTAAGAATATAAAGAAGTTTATGGAAGGTATGATTTCATACTAGAGGAGTTTTTAGCACCACTGAAAGCATAAGCTCTTATACATCGAGTTATGGAGTCATGTCAGAGCACATTTGTCAGTGTGCAATCAAGGTAGCATAGTGCTGTCCCAGATTTCAAACAATTTATCACAGAAAGGCAACCAGTTGGCAGAAAGCACCTGCTATTATTATTATTCTATATACATATGTTATTTTACTGTGAATTATTTATTATTATTATGCATAATGTCTTACACCAGTCATCTAATGTGAATGTAATACTAAATATTTTATCAGTTCCTTTTTATATTAGGACAATCTTATCTTGCGAACTTGGTTAAACATCTTTTCAGCATTGCGCATATTGTTTCACAGAGTTTCATTTGCACAGTGTGAGATATAACACATACATTAAAGTTAAGAGGTATTAAAGTTGACTACTGTATTCTTTAAATTCAAAGTTAATTAGAATATTTGTAAGAAATTAAGAACATTAACTGGGCATTATAAGCATTACCAATTAAACTATAGATGAAGCAACAATTAGGTATTCTTAACTGTAATATAACCTTAAACTGCTCTTCCTTTTTGCTGTTTTTCCAGATATTAATATCTTAACCTTTAATAATTAAGCTTACTAATTTACTATAAGCTCAATACTATAGAACAGGCCTAGCCCTACTAGTTAGTAGTTACTATCTGCTTGATACTATAGCAACACATGTAAGCCTATTTTAGTATAGAATTGCACAATCAAAACTGAAAGGTATCAAAGATTATTAATTGTTAACTAATATGTTAGTAAAGTTATACTTTATTTCTTTATATAAGAAAACAAAACATTTTGTACTACTAGCTTTTATATAAAACTAATATACACAAAATGGACTGTATCAGTGAAACATTGCCATCAATATACTGTATGGTGAAGATACTTAAATAAGAACTATTTTACATTAGCCTAAGATGACTAACAAAAAAGTGTATGACTCAATGATATTCATTATGGCACATTCAGAAGTTTTAATTACTACTACAGACTCAGTAAGGCAGAATATGAAGTGATTACATTGAGTAACTGAATCTAGCAGTAAAACCTTCCAAATGTTTAAAGAATGATTCCATGCTATGGGTAATAGTAATCTTGTATCACAATGTAGATAAAAAAAATCCCACAATTACATAGATAACGAAGTTGAAATCCCTGAGGAACAAAAACTCTGTCTCACAGGAAAGTCTGCAAGCAATACTGAGAAAGCTCTGATATTTTGTCATTTCAGTACAAAATTTTATAATACAATATAAATCACTAATTCTAGAAAACACAAAATAGTTTTTATAAACACCATTGCTGTAGCTTATTAGATTAAAATGTAGTCAGATTACAATTTTCAAGTATGTAAGATAACACAAAAATCTTTCTAATTCTAGATGTAAGCTATAAAAAGTTTGTTGAAACAGCACATATGCAGAGAAGAAAATGTAATTTAATTACTGGAATAGGAAAAGATATAACCTGTTGGTAACTTATAATTTTCTTGACAGCTGACAACTAGGTTCACTCTATGTTAGGCCTGGAATTCTAAAAGGAACCAAGTTGAAGCAAAGATTCATAAGGATAAGTCGTGTCTTCAGAATAATAATTTTCTTCACAGCAGGAAAACTTGCAATCAGATTCATTCTGAACTAGAACTGTGATAAGAGTCAGGCTGAAGTAAATTTGCACGTAGATCAGTTGTGTCTTCAGAATTAGGGACTCTTTCCTCTTTGTACATTAAATCATATCTTGGAGAATTATTGGTCAAGATTGCTGCTGTTGACTGGACCCCTAAAAGTGATGACTTTTGTTCTGGAACTGATCTTTCAAATGTCATGCTGATCTGAAAAGTATTTGGTGCTCTTTACTTGTTTGTTCCAAAGTTTTTAGAAAAGTTTCTGCTTATAGCTACTTTATATAGACTAGCAGTGAAGTTTGTATCGAGTCTGTACAAGCTTATATACCAATATATTTGCAGAGGATGTTTACAATTGTTTTTGATGAAATCACAGAGAATCTGCAATTATGTATTTCACAATCTGAATTTAAACCACTGCTCAGTTTCTGCTGGATCTCTCCAATTCTGAATTTTATTTTCAATCTAAAGCTAGAAATACTATAACCATTTTTAAGACTGCCTCAGCTGCACTGCAAACTGATGTTTGGCTGAAGAAGTAAACTACATTACTCCCCTCCAGCCCCTTCCATACAGTAGATAGAATCAATAATTCTTAAAATTTTATTTTTCAAAACTCAAATTTCCCCCCACATGTCAATAGAGATCTGGTATTATTTTCTCTCTAGAAATTAAGCACCAACTTAAACACGCATATACACATGTACATAAAAAAAACTTAATAAAAATACACCATAATATCACCTTACAATAAACAAAAGATTAACTTACTGAATCAATTTATTTCTTATGCTATTTTGCACATAAAACTACACAAGATTACTTGAACTTATAAAGCATTTTATGAAAATAAAGCTTCAAGGTTTTCCTATTTTCAAACTCATTAAGCCTAGATATCAAAGACTTGTACATGTCTATATTTCAACACTTACAACTAATAATTTTTTCACTCAATAAGACAGCTTAGGTGTTATTTGTACAAACTGATAAATATTTCATTATTCAGGTCTACATTAATTTTTATCAAAATTTTAATAGTTTTACAGAATTTTGTTCTGCTAATACTTTTAGTTCTCTACACTTTATGGCTTAAGCACTGCAATTATGATGTTTATGATTGTGTAGGATTATTTTTAAAAGTGATGTAGCTGATAAAATTAAGGACAGTAGACAATTCACGTTTATTAGTGCACATAGCACAAAAGAAATAAATTGCAAGTAAATTATAAGAGGTTTCTACAGGATCTGATTGATCATGTAGTCACCTGTAACACATTTGTAAAGCTTCAACAATTTAACACATCATGAACATCAGGTTGTTAAATAACAGATGAAACTTAAAAGTCCACAATAAATGCTACTAGGCATCGAAGAGCTCACACTGTTGATTTTAATTTACTTCTGGTCTCACAAAAAATTTACCTTTTCATGATGTCTTCACTTACTTCAGCTTTATATTTAAAGTCTATCATTGAAAGTTATGCATTATTTGAGGTTTGAATTTAAAAACATACTCACTCTTTAGAAATGAAATTATTTAAGTCAATTCTAAAACTTGAAATAAATCAGAGAGTGAACCTACGGGTAAATTTTCTGCCCTAGGAAAAACAGCAAATGACAAGGAACGTGCAAAGCGAGCTTTGGCCATGGTAGCTCTCAAGTGGGCTTCTGTTATATCCTTCTCATCTAATATCTCCTCTTGAATCAATTCTTCAATCACATCTTCTAATGTTATGATGCCTACTATAGTCTACATAATACAATAAAGAACAAGAAATTGTGCAAAGAATAATAACAAAACTGATAAATTGTAGAATGTTTAAAAAGGTAAGAAAAATTATCACATGCACCTAAAAACAAATGTTAGCGTACATCTGGAGGTAGCAATGACAAATAATTTACTAAATTTGTTAAAATTAGAAATATTTTAAACAAATTATAGTAAAAGTTTCTGAATGGAAATTATATTTCATTTGTAGGTTATTTTTGTATAGTAATGAATTTTCAAAATAAATCAAACTTACATTTTATTATCATTTAAACAAGTTGGTATACAGTCACTCAATAAATTGCAAAAAAAAAAATAAACTTTCAAAGCTTTCTTTTCGTCTAACTTTAAATATAAATTCAGTTAATAGTAGTTGATACTTAATATATTTTTCTTCAAAAATTGCACAGAATATACCCGACAAGAAGTGATAGAGTCTGAAATTTCCTCCTTTCCAAAACAACTTATAATCTGTGTATCTGTTTCCATGAGAATTTTAAGCCTTCTAAATAATTATTTGATTAACTGAAACTAATGCTGTTGAAGAATAAAAACAGATTTTTGATATACTAGTCTCAGGATTACTTTAAAAACAAAATATCTTTTTTAATCACCAATAATTCCTTTTGTCAATCTGTTTGTAAAGTACATCGTAGCTAGGAAACAAATGTTGAGAGTTGTTTTTAGTCTAACAGATAATTCAAGCATAGTTTAATCACAACATTAATTTTTCATAAACTTCATTATACATCAATATTTGACAACAGTAAAAATACTTAGTTTAATTCCTTTAATTATTTTGACAAGATCACCTGAGTTTATGTAAAGGTAGAATAAAATTTATTGAAAAGTCTAGATAGATGTTAACTACAAAAAAGAAGATTAGTTGATTAACCCTAGATACTGTAATAACAATAATGTTTATCTGTTCCTTTTATCTGTAATGGTGCTCTGAACTTAAAAACAACAAAACACAGGTATCTTACAATATATTTTAATGTCATTAAGTTCTAAAATAATGTTGAAAACCTTAGTGTGATATACTTTAAAAAAAATAGTAAAAAATGAAGGATTTAAACATACATCTGTAAAGGAATATGTTTTTTTGCTAAAATCTTCTTGATACTTTTCTGGTGATCCAGAGGACGCATGCACTATGGATAAATGACCTAAAATTCCACAGGAAAAAAATTACTATGTAGGAATTATATTGATAATAAAAATTCCATTTTACTGAATAAGGTTTCCAAATTTTATACTGTGTTAAAACATGTCTTATCTACAGGTTTTTTTTTTCTAAACAAGTAATTAAAAGCTATTTATAAATAATAATACTGGATAAGAATTGTCTGTATTACTATTTTTCAAAGAAACCTGTGTATCAGCTCAAGCAAAACCTACAACATATGTGAGGCATTCTTCAAAGATATAATTACTTAGGCTTCTGGTTTACAAAATATTTCAAGTTCAAAAACCAAAACATTAAAGTTCAATACTTCATTTGTTTTATGTTGCCTTTTAAGTATTTCTAGAAAACACTGATTCATAACACAAGACAAATTTAAAATATTTATGGTCTAGAAAAGGAGTAACATATATAGTGTTTACAAATGCAGTAGTGAAAGACATGTAGTGTATAAATCACTTATTTTTAAATAGCTCGTTCTCAATCAGCTGTGATACAAAAATATTGTTACTACTACTAGGTAAACTTTGGTAGATACGATATGTTACTATTCTCAAGTAAATATTTCAGTTTACATACAGTACTGTAAGAGTAATGAAAAAACAACACAAAGCCAAAACTAATCTAATACCTTTTTCTGGTTTATTAATTTTCTGCCTCAATAAATAAACAAATAAATTACATTTTCTTTACATACATTCAGCAAATAATTAGGCTCATAGTTAGGGAAGAATTATCTTAGATTAGTCATACTTTATATGTATTTACAATATTTATTTTACAATAAAATTTTAAAAATATCCTGCACCACAGTAACAAGTCTCAAACAAAAAACAAGCTTAATTCTTAGCTGGTAAAGCTTAAAATATTTTAGGTCTAGGATATCTGAATAAACATCATCTTAAAGTGCAGGTGTATTCTTACAATATTTATACATAAGACACAAGCATAAACAGTTGCAATCTACTGTTTCATTGCATTCTTTATATCTGAACAAAATGTTCACATTAAATAATGGCATTACGTTTGCTTTACTTTATTTCAGATATTTGTGCTAAGCTGCACATGGACTGTCTGCATTACCTATCCCAATTTTGAATTGATAGATTATTGGGAAGGCAGTTAGTATACAATGATCTCCACAAACTCTTAGGATACTCTAATCTAATAATGGGATTTTACCATCACTTTTGCAAGGCATTACACCCAGAAAATGTAAAATACAATACTGCAGCAAAAACAAGCAAACCAAGGACAGTCTGGCATGCAAACCAATAGCTAGTTCACAATTTTACTGGTAGGTAATAATTTTAAAAACAATAAATCAAATAAAATGTACAATAAAAAGCAAAATTATTTAAAGAACTTAGATAATAAGATGCAATATTCTAATAGCTTACATCGTCCTGTCTGGAAGACATTGAGCAAATCAAAAAGAGGCATGGCTTCAGATACCCTGTGAACATGACGAACACATTTGGAGCCCATCAACTGCTGGATGCTAACACCTTGGTATGGGTTCAGTCTTAAAAGGGTTTTTACTAGTAAAATACCCACAATATTTTGCACCGAATTTTCATAAATTGGAATTCTGGAATGTCCTGCCCAAACAATCTATTAAGAATCATAACAGAAATGTTCTCTTCAGTTTACTTATTTACTTACTTACACACATAGATACTGTTAGCTTGTCTTAATCACTACCTAACAGAAATGTTCTGTTCAGTTTACTTACTTACTTACACGCATAGATACTGTTAGCTTGTCTTAATCACTACCTAACAGAAATGTTCTCTTCAGTTTACTTACTTACTTACACGCATAGATACTGTTAGCTTGTCTTAATCACTACCTAACAAGTTCTGTTCAGTTTACTTACTTACTTACATGCATAGGTACTGTTAGCTTGTCTTAATCACTACCTAACAAGTTCTGTTCAGTTTACTTACTTACTTACACGCATAGATACTGTTAGCTTGTCTTAATCACCACCTAACAAGTTTTGTTCAGTTTACTTACTTACTTACATGCATAGGTACTGTTAGCTTGTCTTAATCACTCCCTAACATAAACAAATTAGCTTATGTCTTAATTACTGCCTAACCTAACAAATGTGCAAAAATATAGTTTAATACAACATCAATTTCAAATTATCCTAGATGTTTTTAAAATTTTAATGCTTAAAATTTGTAATTTACTATGAAGTTAAGATACTGATAAATGTATTAAGTTCCAATTTAAAACTTGTTGTTTGGAAATGTCAATAAAATTGTTGTAATATAGTTCAAATCTGAGAAGTAATACAATAATTTAAGTTACCATGTACAATGATATCTTTTGTTGTAAGAGCAACCTTAAAGTAAAAAGTTCTACACAGGCACCTAAAAAAATAATTTAGCATTGTGACAAGTTGCTTTTAAATACCTCTATAAATAATACAAATTAAAACAATAATGCTTAACTAACTTACATTCTTTGCAACAACATTCTTATCATAGTGTTCATGTTCTTGTAATTATTTGAAAGTTGTTTAAGAATCACAAACTAGACAGCCATCACTGAAAACTTCAAACTTTTAAAGCTGAAGGGGCTGATTTCTTGTGATATCACTATCATATTGTAGCTGCCATTACATAAGGCTAAAGCAACAAATTGATTCATGTTTGTTTTAACATTTCATTTTTAACAAATTTAAATTAAAAAATATAAATATATAAATCTATTTTTTGGTGTTAAAAATTAGAATTAATAAAAACCAACTATTTTAATTCATTTTGCCAAAGATAATACTGAAAATATAATCTGTAACATAGAGGCCTAACATATGCTTTTATTTATGGCATTGAGAAATATAATAGGCCTTTACATTACATATTATATTTTTAGTTTTACCTTTGGTGAAAAGAAGTCTATAATTAATCATTAAACAGTTGGTCCACTATATAATAACAAAAAAAAATAAATAAATTAGGCAGTGCCATAATCTTATTCCCACACCTAACTTAATTTAAGTTACTATATGGCAGGTTAAAATGGACTTAAATGCCTCGTAAACTATTAAAAACATTTTGTAAGAAGAAAATATTTTATTGCAGTAAAGTTGCTTCGTCTGACAGTACTGTAATAATTTTAAAAATAAATAAAAAAATTGGTATACATGTAGTTAATTTAAAACAATTCCTTGAAATTAAATTTGATCTCCAACTATATGTTTTTTTTTGGGGGGGGGAGAATCTTAGAAATCTTTGTCAAGATTTAGTTAGGTATGAATGAATGACGATAAAATTAAAAAAATGTTGGAAATGAAATATTTCTGGAACTTGGTTTGAACTGTTGCCCGGGGGGTCCAAGATTAAAATGACACTGCAGGATGATTTATTCACTTCTGTTACTATTTGTGTTGTGCATAAATTATTTGCTTGAAATTCAGTTAGAAAAATAAAACATTTCATTGACTTGGGATTTATTTCACTTCCCTAAGTAATTTTTTCTCAAGGAAAAAGATTGTTTTCTGACCAGAATTAAAATGCATTCATTGGTTCCTTGGAATAAACACCTGGATTATACACGAAACAGTGAAAATAATGGCAAAAACACATCCGGTCAAAATATACATTGTTCTGCCTATGTCTATGTTTTCATGTGGATACAGTTATAAATCTTAGTCATTTTTATTTTATTATTTTTCATACTTGATTGTACTTATTGCATTTAAAATATCCCTGCAAGTAACCAGTTCATACTTTTCTTTCTGTAAGATCATATTATGTGCTCATAATACTTCTGAAACAATACTGTTGATGGCTGTCTGCTCTAATTAAGACTACCTTCTTCTTTATTTTTGCTTTAAGATAATTCATATCTTCCCATGTGTAAAAATACAAAATATAGCCTTGGAAATTATAATATTTCATAAGTTAACATTCAGTACTTTTATATGTTAAAGAAATTTGTATTGCAACACTAATACTTATGCCACAATTACTAATTTACAACAGAACTTTCATTCCTTTGGAAAACTGTTATAATGCTATAGTTTTGAACTTCACTAACATACAATTGGAAAATTAGAATTTAAATTGATATTGCAAAGAAAGCTATCGTTGCTTTCACAAGAAGCAACAGTTTTAAATATACTGAAGTTTTTCCATTGAATTCAAGAATGAAGTGAAGAGAAAATAAGAAAATGAGTGAAGAACAATTACAGAATTTGACACAAATAACACAAGTTTATGATTCACCTCATGAAATCATCTTCTAACGATTACAGTATGATCAAAACTGGATTTAAAATAAACGTAATAGTTTCTACGCAGAGACAAAATTGTCACACTGAACATTGCAACTAGATATGTATATAAAATATTTAAAAACAATAAAAATACTAGCTTAGGTTTACCTATAGAAGACTCTAGTAAAAAAAACACAGCTGAGAGCTTAAGAAAATTACAAATTTACTTCTGATGAACTACAAATGCCTATCATGGTGTTAGAACATTGACATTTTCATAGGAAATTCTTTATGATCAAATAGATGAAAGCCACAGTCTGAATACATACAAGTACAAAAGGGCTGTAAACTTCTTTTTGTAGCATGTTGTAGTTGAACAATTATGATTAACCCTAGAAGCTTCAATGAGCATATGGTCCCCATCAAATTTTAAAATGCTCATTTGCAACAAAATGTTTTTGGGTACATAACTTTACTAAGTACATGGTCCCTAACAGTATACAAGTCACACAAAAACTTAAACCTATCGTTAGTATTGCACTTAATCCCATGAATGTGCAGAAAGTTGTACTGTACAATTATTATAAGCCTCCGAGATGTGATTTTCATCATGTGATGCAGCTAGTGATTCTCAGATCTTTCAACCGAGAAATAGTTCAGACTATGAATAATGCAATGACTGGAGGACACTAAGGTGTTACATGAACATATGCTAAAGCATACTAGCAGTTCTACTGGTTGTATTCACATAGAGACATTGAACAATAATTAAACATTGTATGCTGTGCATTAACTAGAGGAAAAACAGGTTGAGAAAAGCTCTGCATATTACCAGTCCTACCCTGGAAGCTGAAAAAAATAATTGGTATGTGTGTGTTACAGTAGAACCTCAACATTAAGGGCACCCTTCTAAGTGTGTCCAAGTGTCTTCTATAGCAAGTTGCCCTTAATATAAAAAAATGAGCCCCATGGAATAATGGATTCCATATTGACTGTCTTAAATTTCTGAATTTTAAGGACCCCCCCCCCCCATTTTGTTTGATGTATTCAGGACAAGGATGTTTGCAAATTGCACAGTGCCATGACATGGAGTGTTCTCAACAGGTCTCAGGGGTGGGTTAGTTGTGCCCTTTTTTCTTTATTATTGATTGAAAAGTTTCAAAGTACTTCTCTTCAGAGTTTGAATTGTCAAACATTTCACTTTTTTTTCTGTCAATGACTGAAGTAGAAATCTGTTGAAAATAAAGCAACAAATCACTGCTTGTGTCATTAGACTGTTTACATGACACCGTAATACAATACTCTCATGAGTAACAAAGCATGAGCACAGAAATAAACTGACTTGACCCCTAAACACAATGTGGAATTTATCAGCTTATGTATTCTACAATGTTTAGAATGAGAATTCCACAGAATAATAAGACTTATCTGCTGAAGCTTTTTGCCAGACACTAATCATAGCAGAACCATCTGGA